GCGTGTGCGTGTGCGTGTGCGTGTGCGTGTGCGTGTGCGTGTGCGTGTGCGTGTGCGTGTGCGTGTGCGTGTGCGTGTGCGTGTGCGTGTGCGTGTATGTGCTTTCGGTGCTTCGAGCCTTCCTGGCAACCAGTTCCAGCAATTCTTCCACGTCAGCAGTTCGGGGCGTATTACTAATAATCCATTACAGGCTCCCATTCCCTGCCACGTCTTTGAAAGCCCTAATCTGTCCGCGGAATTCATGGCGGTCTTGGTGGATGGTGGCTGATAGGGTTGCCCATGATTGATTAACTTCCCCCTATATATGCGGCTTTTGTCCTGCGGCCCTGGGGCGAGGGGCCTGTGCTTATCACGGCCACCCCTTCGAAATGCGGGGCAGGGGAGGGTCCTTCTTGCTGGTGCTGGTTGCACAGGGCCGCTTTCCGAGCCGTGGAGTGGGGTTTGACCTGCTTGCATGGAAGGTGCCTCTTTGGAACTTTTCGTCGTTGTAGTAGCTGGCCGCTGAAAAGGCCTCTCCAAATGCTGGTGGTCGTGCTTCGCGCGGATTTGTAGAGCTGTACTGTGTACCAGCTACTCTACAATTGTGGCCAATAATCATGCCGTAGTGTCTGGGTGTCCGACGCCGGTACTGTCCACCGAGGAGCCAGTGGACAGCACCAGCAGTGATCTCTTCTTCGGATCCAATACTGGAACCTCACTCACTCCATTCATGCTTCAAGTGGTGTGCCGAGGTGGCCACCATGGTGATCACTTAGGTATGGCAGGCCCGCTGCATGCACCCAAACCTGACACCAGCAACAGTCCATTTCTGGTACCCGGTGCACCGTTGGGCCAACGGTGCAACGCGCGTCTTAGCGGCACCAACACGCGTACGTACATACATGCAAAACTGTCCGTTCGAATTCCCACTGCGTAAATGCGTGTAGCACATGCAGCGAGCGACTACTGGAGGTATGCTGAACTAGTACTCATGAGTTCAGCATCCATCTATAGCTCATATGCATCCATAAATCGCTTCATGTTATGAATGTTCGTTGAATGATCATTCAACGAACATTCATACCATGGAGCAAATATAGTTATCCATGCATGCGTGTCCGCACCTTCAAGGATTTCGCTCCAGCGATAGCGAAGGCCTGCATGTACAGCACACACGGAACCGCCGTACATAATTAGTGACGAGCGAACTACGTTGCATATCTTGGCGACAGGCCAACCAGCAGGAGTGCATAAAGTAACATGGTTAGCGTGCATGATATTGGCGTGGAGTCCGAGCTAATAAGCAAGCAACAGTAATTATAAACAGCACGCACATACAATGTATACGCCGAGAGAGAGGGTGTGTGTATGTACATGTGTGTATGT